TTTCCCCCCATCCAGTCATCCACTATGGCTCTATCTTCAGCAGTTCAGCCATGGTTGCATCCTTAGCGGTGATTACGTTAACCTGCATTCTTTTCCTCGGCGACGCTTCAACAATTGTCAGAAACAGAAACAAAAGGCAGTTGGGCACAGGTTAGATATAACCGTTCTGATGATTATGATTGAAAACACTTATTCGAGCACATTCTTATCGTGTCTCAAAATGAGCTTGGCCCGTGACGAGGAGCCATAGAGGCAGAATTCGCTGAATGTCGGACTTATTAAAGGTCTTCGAGTCAAAGGAGCCGTTGGATAGGCCAACTAATTTTGTAGGGGGATAATTCTTCTTTTATGGTAACGTATTACCATATTCCCACTTTCCTGGAAAATTTTTGAGTTTGGAAAAAACGGCAACAACTTAACGTGTACTTCTCTCGTTTCACAGGCTTGAAATATACTCTTACTGACTTACACTTTAATTCTGTTACGTGCCCATAAACCACCACACTTAGCAGCCAAAGTGATTTTGTTTAATTTTGAAACGTACCATAACAACGTCTAGAATCTACATATTTCAAAGAGTTAATCAAGATATCCTTGCATACCTGGCTACGTTCGGCTTGTTTAGATTTATCTGTGTCGCTATTTTTTGTTTTCTAAAAAAGTACAATTCAGCTTTTAAAAATTCCAATGTAAAAATTTTCTTGTACAAAATCTTATTTGAAAAAAGAACAGAACTATCTTGTTTAGTCTAAACGTACACCTTCACCTTGCTTGCGGCTAAGAACGAAAATATGAAACCAAAAAAATCAGCTTTTTCGAATCAAGTTTTTTGTAATCAGCATGTTGGCAAACCATTCCTCACTAGTTTCTAATAGTTCAGAGCGAGAAGTACCAAATACCGATTATTTAATAGAATAATCCGATAGATATTGATTTTAGCAATGAAATCTGACGCATTCAGACATGGGCAAGGAGATGACCTGCCAACAAATGCAATTCCCCGTATCTATAAGGTATTATCGTATCGTAAATGAAAATTTGAAGTAGAAAAAAAACTAGATTTCAAAGTGAGACATTTTCATAGGACGCGAAAGGCATCATCAATGCTGGCATCTCTTCGTTGGAAAATGCCGTTGGGGCTGACCACTCGTCCATCCAGAACCATTTTCATGCACTCACAAAAGGACAAGGAGACGACACGCTAATATATGCATTTCCGCCCATCTACAGGGTAATATTGTATAGTAACCCATCATCGAAAATTTTGAACGATAAAATCTAAGCAAAATAGCTTATTATCAAAAACATTCGAAGCTTCTAAAAACAAATTGAAAACAAATTCGATTCCAATTTAAGACATTTTTATAGGATGTGGACGGTATCATCGATTCGGGCTTCTCGTTTGAAAACGCCGATGGAGCTGGCCATTCGTTCATTCAAAACCATGCTTTGGAAAAAGTAAAATTTTCAGGTGGGTAAAAAAGTATCTAATTTTGCCGACCAAAATTTCCAACCATAGAGAGTACTCTTTGTTGTTTGATCCTCAATAAACATATAAATTTCACTTTTGAAAATTTTGCCTTGCCTTGACCAAGCACCAGTCCCGCAAACTTTTTTTGGCAGTGAGATTCAGTGCCATGAAAAATGAATAGACATAGTGAACAATACTATCATAACTATCAATAGTGTGTAACCAGCTCATTTGTTTCTGCTAGCACTACTTCTCTGTGCTGCGGTCAATATTACCACAGCTGAACCGGAAAGCTAAATGACTAAGAATTTTCACTTTTCCTCTTAAAAAATTGTTTCAAAAATTTTCCTACGCATTCATGTCTAAAAACTGAGACAAACAATTTTTTGGGATTAGAGTATCGAGATTAGATTTGAGTAGGACA